GTCTGGTGGAGCTCTCAGTCAGGGACCTGTTTAACTCCCACCTCCAACAGAGCTTCACCCTGATTCCAGGGGAGTCTGAGTGGACCACATTCTTAGGGCTGTCACAATAACCGCACAAATGAAATATCGCCATACCAAGAAGCTCACCGCGCTACAAAACCAGCCACAACCATCACCGCATCTTGGGACAACAGTTGAGAAGGATACAATGGCAGCTGCACTGATATCAAAACCAAATGTTACTCTGCCCCTTTGGGACCATTTTGGCTTTCAGCCAAATGAAAAGGACAATTTAAATGAGGCAATTTGTAAAATCTGCAGCAAACTTGTTTTTTTGTTTTTTTTATCTGTGCCATTACTGCCCTTTGATCTGCGTTCAATAAAGTGTTATAAAATTGCCATGTTTTTTTTAATAACCTTTTTTAATATTTAAGAGCCATGTTTCAAAGGAAATTTTGCAATGTAGTTGGTAATTTAACAATATACAAACACTTTTGGGAAATAAATAGATTAGAATAAAGAAAAAAAAGATGGTGCAATAATATCACATATTGCAATATTTAGCCTCCTTGAATAATCGCAGGGGGAATTCCTCAACCGCGACAGCCCTACACATTCTCAGCCTCTTTTATCGAAGGGGAATCTAAAGCAAAAAAAAATCTTTTGCTTTAGATTCCATTTTTATTATATTAATTTCAAGGTTCATGGAAAGGATTATGCTTTCAATAAACCCTATTCTTTGTCTTATTAGGATCAGATTGTTTTAGTTGGCCATTCAGCGGGTGCTCATTTGGCAACCCTGGCCACCCTACTTCTTCTTGATACACGAGAGGAGCTGCTGATAGAGCCAAAGCTACAGCAGGAGATTCTACATTCATTAAGGGGAGTTATTGGTATGTACATCCGTACCTCTTTTTTTTTTTTTAACTCACTGATGAAAATGAATTCTGTTTTAATACATTTTTTTATTTTTTATTTAAAATTTGAAAGATTTGGTGGTTGGGTTATGCCATTGATATCATTATTAATATTATTTTTCCATTACATCTATTTCAATAGATTACCCCCTTTTTGTGCAATTGTTGCTGTTTTGTCCTTGAATAGGGATGAGTGGCGTCTACAGCATCATGCACCATTATAAACATGAGCAGAGGAGAGGAATTGAATTTATTTCTTGCATGTCAAGAGCCATGAATGGGGAGGAAAACTTTCCCCCGTACTCACCTATGCACATAGTAAAGAACATTAGCGCTGACAAGCTGAGGAGGTAAGAGGCACGCTCAAGAAGCAACCTGAAATCTGTTTCCTGTGTTATTTTTTCCACTCTTGTCAACATCTCTTTTCTTTTCCTGTCACTTCCAGAGCGCCCCGGTTCGTTTTGCTTCACGGGGGTTGTGACATCGTCGTTCCGGCCGACTGTTCCACAAAGTTTTATAAGCTCCTCTCCTCTCTCTCTGTAAAGGTGTCGCTCCACCTGCTTCCTGCTGTCAGTCACACTGACATTGTCACTGACCTCATGCTACCAAGTAGACGCTTTTACGATCCGCTCTTCGTATGCCTCCATTCGCAGTTCTTGGAAATCCTGAGAAACTTTTGACAGCCTGTGTGTTTAGTGTCGAGGTTTACAATGATCAGCCAACGAGTCCATAAATATCTGTAATATGCACTTAACTAACACAAAACACAAAGATTAACATTGTATTTGAACATTTGATGATGTTTAACGTGTAAACTAAATAAAATATTTTGAATTATTTAGCTGCCATCTAAATAGGGGCTTAAACAATTAATCAAATTATACTTGATTATTCAATTATTGAAGTAATTGTCAACTAATTTAGTTATCGATTAATCATTAGATGGATTATGGAGTTTAAAAAATAAGCCTTTAGCTGGAAGAACAACCTACTTAGAGCAGTAATTATAAAAAATAAAAAAAATAAAAATTCTGCATTTGAGATTAAAAACTTTTTTTGTCCATCAACATTCTCTATTCAGAACTCTTCAAGTGGAAATGTTTTAGTTTTACCTGGTTTAAATTCTATATAAAATTTCTTTAAGGAACCTTTGGGAGTGGTGGCCTAGTGGGTCACTGAGGTTTTGGGTTCCAGCCCCACTCCCACAGACTGGGTCTCTGAGGTGCCGCACAATGGAATCCCCCTGCTCCCCGATTGGATGGGTTAAATGCAGAGATGAGACTCCAATGTGAAATCAATAAAGTTCAATCATTTATTTATTATACTTTCATTATCCGATTATTAATCAAAAGAATCATCAACAGATTAATCGATTAGCAAAGTGACCGTTATTTGCAGCTCTACATCTAACTAAATGTCTAATAAATAAATGCTCTTTTTATATCTTCCTAGCTTTAAGAATATTACTTTTTTCTTTTACTCATGTCATTCACAGGAGAGTGTTAGTGTATGAATCTCAGAGCTCAGCATAGAGGCTGTAGACTGAATGTATATAAATCACTGAATTGACTTTATTGAAATATTAAAGTTATTGGTTGGTTGTGTTTTTTTTTTTTATAGATGGATAGATATCCCTGGAGTCAATTGTATAGGTGGGAATATGAGTTAGGCATATATCAAGATTCATGTAATTATTTCAGTAAGATATATTGATAAAAAAAATTGCCATATAAGGAGTTACAACATGTGCAAGAAGCCATGCAAAACGATTCTTTTTCAAGCTAAATAATTTCCCCATTGTGGGACAATAAAGGGATTTTCTATTCTATTCTATTCTTAAGCTCCAGCCATAGTTTCAAGCAGGATTTAAGACACTGAGTTGAAAAATTTGAAGAACACTTTTCCAGGCCTGTGTTTCACATGTGTGCATGCACAGCCCACAATAAAAAGCAAAAATATTGTTAGTGCATAGAGAAGGCTCAGGGTTGTGAGAGAAAAGAAAGGTAGATCAATAATGCAACCAGTAATATAGCGATATAAAATATAACAATTTATACATATGTAATGCCACATCTCTTTGTTTAAGAGCATCAGACAGTATTTCAATATGAAAGCAAGTAATTATTTACACATTTAATAATATGCCAAACATCACCAGGTCTTTGTTAAATAGCATAAAACAAATCATTTTAGTCTTAAACCATATAGTGTCTCTGTCTGTTAAAGAGAATACATTGGTGAAATACCCTTCTGTTTGTAAACATTGTAATAAGTGAACTGTGGAAATGACATCAACAATAATGCTTTCCTCTGGAGGAATTAGCACTAAGATGAAATATCACAAAGCACTAGCACAATGCTTTTGGAGACACGTCACAGCTCCACAGGTAATGTCAGAGCATGGTTAGAAAAGTTAGCTGGTTCGCCATTTTATTTCATTTATAGTTTAGTATAAAATATTAGCACTGACCTAAAACCTAAAAAAAAATCAATTCCTGTGCTAAGAGACTGTCAGATATTAAACCTAACAACAAATGTTTAATATATCTAAAAGAGCATCTTTACTCTCCTTAAATATTGGATGCTGTTGTGCACATAATGGAAAATAACAAGATGATCAGCTGAGGGCATATAGACCATTCCTGTGTATGTGAAAAACTGTTTTGCAGACAAAGAAAGGACATAACATAATTATTATTTTATTCATATTGCTGGATATGCTATGGCAATCACAGCAAACAGTGGTAACCGTTACTCTCAACTCATTCCTTTTTCAATGGTTTTTAATCAGTTTGCTTTAAAATAAAATATGAAATGAAGTTCATTTAACATTAAAGATTAACTTTTGATTTGCTTTATTGTGTTTTGCAGACGGGACAATTCTCGTCCATGATGTCATCCCGCAACATCTTCCAATCTCCTAGTGGACATATTGATCCACTTATGCACTTCAGCATTTGAGACGAAAACGAAAGTTGCTTTTTTTAAATACATTTTATAAAAAAACAACACTGGATTTGGTTTCCAAGTTGAAAGACATTTCGCTTCCCATCCGGGAAGCTTTTTAAATTCAAAATGTCAGAGTTAGCGTTTAGTTTGATGCCTTATATACTGTAGTAGCCCAAAAACTAGTTTTGGCTCAGAAAACATGCAAATTGAACCAGAAGAACAGGTCCGCCCCTTAGGAATGGAGAGTCGTTTTGGGGTTAATTATACACATCAATTTACTAACATTAAAGATGGTAAGTACAGAATTCATGCTCTTTTCTGAACTAGATTTTCTCTTATATGGGTTAAAGAGAAAATGCAAGTCATCTAGGAGTCTTTAGTGAAAAATATTTTCATAAAAACGTATTAAAATAATACATTTGTGTAGATATTAGTACTTGTGAATATCAATTTTATGCAGAATGATTATTGATAGAAGTAAATAAGTAATAACAAAAGAAATGATTTTCACCCCAGAACTCAAACCTGAAAGAATTTTATCCACTATGCCTTTTATCTAGAAAGTTTTAATATATGTGTCTATTTGTTAGCAACGGCTGTAGGAAAGTACAGTTTGTCTTATCTTTGGTTTGACCCTGAGGTTCTGGCGCCTATCCACTATCAGCCACCCCTCAGTGTACATTGGTTATTGCCTGGCCACCCTTAAAAAAATTTCTACCTACGCCTCTGTTCCAAATTATATTATATTTGAGTATATTTCTCTTCATTATTGAGGTCTGTCATAAGGTTGAATTTCCCTATGGAGATGAATATAATTATTTTCTATGGATTCTGATGTAGCTGTTCATGCATGAAGAGACCCAACAACCTATATGGTGACGCAATATACAGAAAAAATCAAATGGGCTTTATTTTCTTATTAGGAAAAAAATCTCTGCATTAAAGCTGCTTTTCTTAATAATTCTTTTTTTTTTTTGGACGCTAAATGTTGCCTTTAAAATACAAACAGTAGGGTTAACAGGAAATAAAAAAAATCTAAACATTTAAGTCCTTTTATATGAAGGGTCTAAAGTTTGGGGATATATAATTTTCCCCCCAGCTTTTATTTTGAAATTCGCGCACTAGGCGGAGTTCTGGGGGCCCTCTGAGCTGTGAACAGACGCGCTCCATTCCTCCTCACTTTCAGCCATTTGAATGTTAACTGGACGGAACCGAAGCACGAAGGAGTAAACAAGATTCGGTAAAAATGTGAAGGGCAAGGTCTGCTGAACATTGCTGTGTCCAAAGGGAGAAAAAATGGACTCTGCTGAGAAGAAGAAGGAGTTGTGTCTCTGCGGTCTCCTTTGGTGGTCGCTCCTGCTTCAGCTTGCGTCTGGAGGTAGTTGTTGTTTTTCAATTGTTTTTGTCAATGAAAACATTTAAACATTTATATGTTACTTTCAGGTTCTGCTTGAAAAAACAAACAACCATAAAAAAATAACTTATGTGCAAAAACAGGCAAGTTTTACTTAGTTTTCTTACTTAATAGTTGGATTTATTGTAAAGATTAACTGAAATATCCAGTCAAAATTATCAGTTGTAAAATAAGGAACCCTAAAATAAGCATTTTTTCAAGTGCAAAACACTATAAAGATGTCCTGTGCTTGATGTTGATACAAAATTGTATTTGCTGTATGTGTTTGTGTTTTTGTTATTGCTGCTGGTGGTATTTAAATTCATCCAAGCAGGATGGAATGAAATCTGCATGTAGAGGTTCTGGTTGGGGGCAATGAAAGGCTGTAAAGTTACAGTCCTTTATAACTTCTGTAGAAATCTCCCCGGCTTTCTTTATTTGCACATTATAATAGCTGATAAATGCAGTTTTCCTCTATAAATAACATTTCTGCATGCATGGATACCCACTCTGCAGAAAGAAGACCGGTTATTGCATTACAAGACCTAAGGGAGAGAGATGTCTTTGTTTCACAAGTGAGCATTATTAAATCCATGTAGGCATCCTTTAGCTATTCTCCTTTATTTGAACCTGACATGTGTCGTCTGAATTCAACTTTGATCCAGACTCTACCCTGAGGGGATCATACAAATTATTCCACTTTGTCATTCACAGAAAATGCCCAGGATGGAGATGTTTCCCTTTATGCCGCTGTCTTTCTGATTTCCGTCTTTCTTTCACACTTTGAACCAAGCCTTTGCTCAAAAGATCTGCGTCTGGAGGTTTTGACAGTGCGTCGACTTTGGAAAAGATTCAGTCGTGTTCCATCTCCGGTCTGCTGAATAAACTGAAAACACAGGCAGTGACAAGCACTGGTCTACCCCCTCCAAATTAGGCCTGTGTTCTCTGAAAAGGTCACCAGCTTTTTTACTAAGGTAGATGTCTGGGAAATCTTTCAAAAAATGTCACCTCTTTAAAGAAACTTGCCCCTGTTGACATGAAGATTACAGGATAGTGTTTTAAACGACCTCCTTTTTGTTCTGAAGGAGTTTTTGTCTGACCTGCTGTACTCTTTCATTTACATGCCTTCAAAAATAGTAGTGTTAAACACTTTTTTTATGAAAAAAAGTTTCAATTATAGAAAACATTTTTGGAGGAAAGAGCTTCTTCCTTCACCTAATATCATTTCTATTTATTCTAATGCAGTGTTGTTGATGGATGCGGATTAATCAATTTAGCATTAATTTCTATCTTTCTGAATCTGGTGCAAAACATTAATCTCCAGCTTTTATATGGGCTCATTTTTAATTAGTATAAAAAGCCACTGAGATGAGATCATATTAAGAACAAGCCATATTCCACTGGTTAAACATATTGTTCTTGTTTGGGTCAGTGGAGTGGGATGCTGCTCTGCAGCAAGAAAATGTGATATTATCACATCTTGCTGCAGGGCAGCAACATATTTTGCAACTTCATCAAGTTATGATGAATTATATGAAGAAGCTGGTCAGATCTCTCCGTCTAAAGTTTCTCTGTTCTGTTTTTGCATATAAAGCTTTTTCATAAAGGCACATCATGTAACTTTTGGCCACTAGGGGCACTAGACCTGTAACTGCCCGTATTTACCCTCTATTAAACATCAAAAATAATAACAAAGATATATATGACTGTATACTAGGAGCAAAGTGTTAACTTAGCAGTCTAATAGTAAAGCTGAACAAAGAGAACCAGTTCCAGATCCGGCTTCTTCTTTCAGCCTGCGCCAACAATCTAACTCCTTTCCAACATCATCTCTTGTTTTTCTTCGTGCATGACCCCTTTCACATTTTCTCTTGTTAGCATCCTCAGAAGGCTTAAACTTTTTCTTTGCCTCAGTCATGACCAGTATTCAAGCAGGCGGAAAAA